CCAAGGAAGAACAACACGAACACAAGAGTAGAAATAACGAAGGTATATTACACGAAATAATAATACAAGATGTGGAAGGTGTTAGTATGACTGTCAGTCTGGTTTGGAGTGAAATACTATCGGCTCGACTCGATTCCCACTGTTATGGTCCAGGTTAGGACCAAGGAAGAACAACACGAACACAAGAGTAGAAATAACGAAGGTATATTACACGAAATAATAATACAAGATGTGGAAGGTGTTAGTATGAGAGGCGTAGTATACCTAGTATTAGGAAGAGTTCACGCTGTAGTTACAGTTATGTTGATGATGCGTATAACATTAGTTTTTATTAATTAACATGCAATCAATTTTAACAACTACAGCCAATTTGGGCTTATGTAGATTGTTAGTTTTATTGTGCTATTTATTGATTATTTTATTCCTATTATTATTGATAATATATAATCGTTGTATCAGCTGACGATTTGTTTACACCCATTAAATCAATAAATAAAGTTGACTGATATTATTGCATTTGGTGTCAGATCAATCTTGCCAAAAATCAGATTTCGCTTTTGAATGCATTAAGGTGGGAAGAATTTCTGTGAATTCTTGTAATGAATATAGAAATTAATGGGATCCTTGTAGGAAGGAATTCTTTAATTTCCTCATTATTTGTTTCTCTGGTGTAAACAAAATTAACGAAGCAAATTTTTAATTTTATTTCACTCTTGTACTTGAAATTCAAGTAATCTCCTTTTATGTTAATATTCCTTAAATTTCAACTCCTGGGTAACTTTCTGAGAGGCTTTAATAATTTGATAAACTCCTCTTTAGCCTGGAAGGCGTCTAGAGCTTTGTTCAGTAACCCTCATAGAGTTTGTGCCTTGATAACCGGAGCTGGTAGGTTCGCAAATCACCCGGCCCCAACCTCTCTATGTTTATTGAACACTTGTATATGTTTATGCCTTGTTTCCTATTTAGGGCATCGTTTAATGGTTCCTTTCCTTCTTCTATGGATTTAAGTATCTTTTTTCGTTGATCTGACTGATAGGTATCTGCGATTTTTCATTATGAGGTTACTCAGTTTGCATTTTTCTGATTGTTGCATTTCGATTGGTAGCAAGTAGCCTGGCCTCTTTTGTAGCGCTTAGAGAGACTGTTCTGATCAACAGTTGCCTAATAACGGGGTATTTATAGTGCCATAACGCGAATGAATAGGGGCCCCTGAATATACTCCTGGTGGTTAGTCTAAGCCGCCTTCTGGCTGGTTTGTATTACTAAAGACGATTGACAGTGGGAATTACTTTGCCCATTTTTATCATTAAAATAAAAATAACCTTCTCATTACAATTAAAACTATTACAAATATTTTCGGCCTTGTACCACATCTAAGGTACCCTTAGTAAATCAGTAATATTTCTAAACATATCTGAAAGAGATAAGTTTTTATGTATCTAACTTGTTATTTTTTTTTCTGTTTAAATATTTTTGGTTTAATGTTTTAGCTAGGGGGAAATCTTAACGTAAAATGTCAATGTTTTGAATAAGACCAAAGACATCTATAAAATGATTCCGAATGTAATTTATATATATATATATGTAACACCGTCAGCTATTGGCGGCAATAACAATTTTAAAGTTTTACCCTCTATTTTTTTATAAATGTTGTATCAGTTTATATTTTTTGTTCATAATTTTCTTTTCACTTTTGTTTTCTTTATTTTCCTTTAGTTGTTTCTTTTGCCTTTTTCATAATCATTCTTTCAATCTTGCCAGCATATTGTGTGTGGAAAGAAGAACAATCCGCCAAATACAAAAACAAACTCGAAGATTTTCCTTCAAGTAATTCTGATCTTATCGTTTCCTCCTCTCGCGTTTCAACATAACTTTGTCGAAGATTTAGTTGAGTACAGCAGACAGAAAACCCTACACCTCTTTTCGTAATCTTGGTACCACCAATTCTTTTGTAACTGTCACCAGATTATTATTGGGAAAATAACGGAAATAACTTTTTCACATGAGCAGACAGCAGCATAATAAACAGCAAACAAGAAAGAAAATGAAAGAAATGCGTGAAAATTCAAATCCTTTGAGTTTTATAACAACGTTTTGATGTCGTCACACCTACATTTTATCGGCATAACCAACAAAATCATTATTACAATAAATAATGCTGCTTTTATTAGCATCAGTATTACAAATACTAATAATGTTAAACGAATGTTATGAATATTAAAAATAAAGATACCATACGAGTGAACTGCTACCATCCACTTATGAAGAAACATTTGCTGTTTATTGGGAGAGCAATCAAAGCTGCATACTGTTGGAAAAATAGATGGGAAATATTAAGAGAAAGACAAACAGAAAACGGTTTAAAGAAAGTTCACGAAAAAAAAAAAAACAAGAAAAGGTTCGCGCTAGGTAAAAAAAAAAAAAAATACATAAAGAAAAAGAAACAAAACCGCTAAATAAAAATTAAAAAAAAAAACAAAAAAAAATAGAGGTTTAAATAAAATTTTTTAAAAAATACAGTAGCCTAGAGTAACTAAATGTTACACAAAAGAAAAAAATCAGATGAAAAGCCGAGAGGGGAAAAATAAAATTAAAAAAATAGTCACAAAATTAGAACAATATAACAAAATTAAAACGTAATCAAAATATATAATACAGTCAATAATTTAAAAATTTCTTGCAAATCCTTCGTATAATTCAAAAATGAGTTTCCCAGTAGCGGACGAAAATCGGTCAAAAGCAAAAGATTATCTGATCTCCTACGAAAGTACCACAGAGGGACGTTCATTAGAACAATTACTATGAAAGTATTTATAGAAAAGCCAGAGGTAAGATGTTTTACATTATAGTCACTGAAGCCGACATCCCACTCAAGGGCCAATGACATTACAAGGATTTCTAAATATGAAAGAGGAGCACCAAATCATATATGAAAAGAACATTGAAAGCATGGTCGAATGGTAGACATATATATATATGTAAAATAAATTCCGGTGAGACAAATTGTCTAGCACGATACAGTGAACCAGCTTTCCTAGCAGTCGACCTTACAATTGAGTCAATTTTGTCACTCCACTTCATGTCAGCGGGAAACTTTAGCCTGGAGAAACGTGTGTTGGCATTCTTTCCTTCCCTCCTTACTGTGGGTTAAATAACAGATTATTGGGCTCTCTAAATCTGGATGGCAGCCAGGCTAAAATAAAAAGAACGGTATTGAAATTAATTTAGCTTCCTGGCGTACATTGTGAAGTACCGGCTCTTTGACCATCAAGTCGTCTTAATCGTTATTTCTTCAGAATAAGAAACCGTTACGACTCTACCTAAATGTGCCAAATCATCTTAGAAAGAGAAAACGGGTTACACGTCGGTCAGCTCGGTGTTATGGTCAGTAACATATTTCGTAACATAATAGCTGATTTCATTAATATCCGACAGAATATTTAAAAGATTACATTTTAAGAATTTGGACGATGTAGTAAATCCAACTATAGACTATTGCTGTTCAGTAAAAAATATCCCCGCTAATTATAATGAAGCTATTATTTAAAATGACTATAAATGTCATAGAAAAAGAAATAAATGCTCTAAAAACGAACAATACATATCAATTAACTGAATATCCAGTTGGCAAAACTGTCGGCGGCGGTCGGTGGGTGTATGCTATTAAAACTAATAACATTAGCTAGCTAATGAACAATTCAAAGTTAGATTTGTTGCAAAAGGTTACTCGCAAAAACCTGGAATAAATTATGATGAAACGTTTTTCCCTGTAGCACGTTTATCGTCTGTAATAACTTTAATGCAAATAGCTATTCAACATAATTTATTTGTCCACCAAATGGATGTAAGAACGGCATACTTAATGGATGTAAGAACGGCATACTTAATGGATGTAAGAACGGCATACTTAATGGATGTAAGAACGGCATACTTAAATGCTCCGATAGACAGAAGTATATGTTCAAGAACTTGAGTGTTATTCCATTACCAGCAAAAGCAATGAAAAACATATGGCGATTAAAATGTCTTTTTATGGACTTAAACAAAGCGGATGAAAGTCCTACACACATTTAACGTAATTCCCCATGTATCATACGCCTCCATCTATAATACACACACCTAAAATTGTGCTGAAAGTGTGGGAAAATGCTTCTACTCACTCATAATATGCACCCCTTTTGTAATCAAACCCTATAAATTGTACCTCTCTAATTTTATTACGGCCAGCGTTTCCTACTCTAATTTAACAAAACGGTTTTAAAAATAGAATAATATTATTCTAATTTAGTTTTATGATAATTCTTATTTTATTTTACGCCAATTTCTTAAAGATTTTTTGTTGCTGTGCATAATACGCACCCTGACTTTGCTTATTTTTTTTTTTTAGAAAATAATGCGTATTATACATGGAGAATTGCGGTAATTCTTCAAGTTTTCTCGCGATTCGTGACAGACTTTTATCTATACAAAGAACATTTCAAATACAATACTGATTATGATTGTTTGGGTTGATGATATACTCACTGATGCAAGTTGCAATTCTGCGTTAATTAATGTAAAAACACGTTTAAATAAACAAAACAAAATGATAGATCTTGGACAGCTTTCTTTCTTTCTGGCTATACAATGATAGAGATCAAACGAAATATATTCAAAAGATTTTAACCAAATTTGGAATGCAAGATTGTAAACGTCGATCAACGGCTTTTGAACTGGATATCAATTTACTGGGTGAAAGCAACGCTGAACCAGCAGACGGAAAATATTACCTAGAGATAGTTTGAAGCCTGATATACATCATGGCTGCCACATATCCAGTTATAAGTTACGTGGTAACAAAAATGTCGCATATTTTGCAAATCCAACCAATGAACTACAGCGTATGTATTCAAGGCCATGGAAAGATCAACATTTTGGATGTTGATTTTCAAACCAGAGAAGCGATGTCTTCTCGGAACATTTCTGTACGACAACATTCACCTGGGTTGTTCAGAGATGAGTTAAATAAATATGAGAGAGAAAAAGAGCGAAAGACGTAGAGGGAGGAAGAAATAGGAAGGATATATATGGAAAGAAATAGGTGAGGTAAAGTGAGAGGTGTGAGTGAGAGAGGGGATATATAGAGAAAGAAATCTGGGAGTGAAATGTTCGTTAGAAAGAGAGTCGTGGGCAAAGGGAATAGTGAAAGTGTGAGGAGGAATAGGGAAAAAAGATAGAAAGAGAGGGCTGATAGAATAAAAGATAGACAGGAGTGACAGAAAAATAAAGAAGGAACTGAGATGAGAGAGCGAGAAAGTAAGAAAAGTAGATAGATAGAGAGAGAGAGAGAGAGAGAGAGAGAGAGAGAGAGAGAGCAAATGAATGAGATAGAGATAGGCCAGACAGTTTAACTAGAAAAGGGTTTGAAATGTAATATGCGACGCAACTCGTTTTGACCCACAGGAATATCAAAGTCATATTAGAATCGATCTAAATTTATCCGGAAAAGAAAGAAAACATAGTATTGAGAAATAAGAGAACATGGCGCCATCAGATATCAGAAACATTTGCTTTTCTTTTGAATTGCTATAAACCTTATCAATTTTGTAAGAGGACCGATTTTGGAGGTGGAATAATGTCAATAATCAATGCAAAGGCATGTTAAAATGTTCACTGTGAGCATCTATAATTTGTTCATATTGGGCGCCAGTCTGTGTCAAAGAAAAATAAGCTATAGTTAAACATATTACTGCTATTCATTCCTGTCCAGGTTATAGCAATGGTTAGTGGACTAGATTTGGTGAACTATAAATAGAGTGTTCGATTCCCACCATTGGTTCAGTGATTTATAGCATAATTATAAATCATATTTAACTATTGCAGATGACACAGTGTTGTTAGCAGACGCATAATAAAAACTAAAATCACTCCTAGTCGTGAAGGAAAGCGACAAGAAAGGACTAAAAATCAATGGCAAGAAGACAGAAGGTACAGTGGGCTATGATAAGTTTTTTCCACCTTTGATTACAGTAATTTTGGCTTGTTTAATAACAATAATAATAAATAGTGTAACATGATATTGTCAGAAAAAACAATAATATAAATCCTCTTTTTTTCAGACAATACTGTGTTACACTATTCGGACTATTGTCCAAATCTTTCTCGCCATATTTATTACAACGTTTTGTTGTACGCCCCGGTCTTCTTCAGGTGGTTGGAATGTCGAAGTGAACCCTTTATTTCGTTCACTGGGATAGACTGTTCTAGTTCCACGTGGCATGTTTTAATGGATGTCAGTTGTCAATTATCTCCTGTTAATTCACATCTCAAAATTCTCCACTGCCTTTAGAGGGTATTGAACTCACATTCTTTGGGTCCTGTCACCTAACTAACGCCTTTATCCACTGTGCCGTGTGTCATTGAGAATATCTGTGTCTGAATTTTGGGGTATTATAAACCTAATGTCTTCAGCAACTGATTTTTAACAGTTCTCATATTACAATTTATGCTGTTATCAAATCATGTTTTTACCAGAGCTCATATTGCAATTTTTGTTGTTATCGCTTTTCTCTGGCACACCTTATTACTGGTTCCCATATTGTATTCCTTTCTATGCTTGGTCGACTCAGGAGATTTTTGTGGCCTAGCATATGTGCTGATTCCTTAAGTTTACGAATTTTCCAATGGGGTTCTTTGTCTATGATCTCAACCTGATCTCACAGAGAGCGGCGATCTCACTTTTCTCTCGATATGTGGTCAGTCACGCCTGATTTTCCACTTCCCCTGGTATTACAGCTTTCTGGTGTTCTTGAACCCTTACCTTAAGGGGGCGGCCTCTCTCCCCTTTATATATCTTTCCACAGTTGCCCGGAATAGTGTACACACAGTCTTTAGTCATGTTCTCCTCTATGGGGGCCTTACTCGGGTGAGATATCTGTGAAGTGTCGTCAAGCTTTTGAAAGTTGTCCAGATGTTATATGGACTTTGTATTTTCTCTGATAACTCCTTCACATAAGACACGAAGACTGTTTTCTGGGTGTTGTTGTCCTCCTATTTTACCCGACTATCCCAGTTTATTGGGGCTGCTGCCATGTACCCAGGGTAGTTGTTACGTTGTAGGCTACTATTTATACTGACCACTTCTTTATTTAATGTTTCTGGGTCGACACTTATGACTTTTGCTCGGTGATGCAAGCAGCGGACGATCCCTTTCTTTACGCCGTATGGATGGTGGGATTTGAAATTGATGTACTGTCCGGTGAATGTCGGTTTACGGTATACGGATGTCTTGAACCCATGCACTGTTCGAGATATTAGAACATATAGGAAAGAGTGTGTTTCGTAATAAATATGCCGACAAAGATGAGGACAATAGTCCGAATAATGTAAATAGTGTACATAATACCTCATCTCAGAAATATAGACAAATATCTTGTTAGTATCAAGCTACTCTCATCTATAAACAATAGTTGACTATATATCTTGCAAAGAAAGTTCGTGGAAGTAATGAAATAAGTGAATTTCAACGAGGGCAAATAATAGGATTGCATCAGTGTGGCAAGTCAAATTGAGAAATGGCTTAATTTTTCCAGGTTAATCACCAAATGAAGAAGGCCATTGTCGTCTGGAACAAAATTCAGGAACACGAAGCATCGTGTCTGAGCGAACGAAATGGCATCGAAGGGGGAAGTCATCAGAAAACCGTCGTCAGAGCGTCAAAGATGTCGCCAAGGGCATGGAAATGTCGCCATATGCGGTGAGAAAGACTCTGAAATAGCTAGGCTATCAAAGAAGAGTTGCAAGAAAGAAGACCTTGATTTCAGAGGTTAACAGGAACAGGTGTATGGACTGGGCGAGAGAATTTGAGAGCAAAGATTTTGAATTTTGAAAGTAAATTCTGCCAGTATTCTAATTTGAGATTGGTTTATGTTTGGAGAAATCAGAGTGAGACTTGGAACACTGAATTCTGCAGGCGACCGTGAAACATGGAGGGACTAAAGTAATGGTGTGGGGTGCTCTCTGGTTTGGAGGGAAATCTAAACTGATTCTTGTTGAGAGGTTGAATGGTCCAAAATACTGCCAAATATTAGAGAAAGGACTACGCCCATTATTTGAAACCAATCAGATTGAGAAGAATGTCTACCTTTTACAAGAAGATTGAGCGCTATGTCATAGGAGCAAAGTAGCAAAGGCCTGGAAAAGATAGCAAGGAATCAGGTCACTGCCAAGGGTAGCCTAAAATCCTGTCATGAATCCAATAGAGCACGTTTGGAAGCACCTTGATTTAAGACCTCGAGGGCGTGCAACCAAAATCATGTCAGTGGCAACCCTTAAAGAAACATTGCTAAAGGAGTGGCAAAATATGGATCAGACGATTGTTGATAACTTGATCAAATCCATGAAAAATCGAATACAAGCACTGAAACTAGCAAATGGAGGACTTACTCCATACTAGTTCCAAATACTGTTTATGTTGAATAGGGATTACGTAACTAAATTGTGAAATTAGATAACAGTTTATTTCTCCTGGCTAAAAACTTTTCTTAGTCCACTGTAACAAACAAAAAAACAAACAAAAAACCCCCAAAAAACAGCCCAATATGCAAATTAAAAATGACATACTTTCAGCGCCGGGCCTTCTCATTGCACTAGCGAGAAGGATCGGTGCACGCACCGACGTCAGCTCAACCAACGGTTGTAGGCGCTCGGGGAATTCTAGTTCCTTGCCCGGGTGGACGCGCTCGGGCTCCCCACATTAAACCGACCTTGTGTCACAACCTGACCTCGTGGTGGGGTTGAGTAAATAGAAATTACATAGTTTCAGCGTGGTGCTATATCTAAGCTTCGCTTAGTAAAGCACTAGGGTATTTTGAATTAGTGAAATCATTAGCAGGATTGTCTCGCTAGATCATTTACGACTGAATAGTAAGTTCAGACCGCACTGGGAGCTCCATACTTTGGACCTTGTATCTTACCTAAACTACGTTTAGTCAATCACTATATATGAATACAGGAATTAATCATTCTTTTAAACATGTCATAAGTTACAGCAAGGATAAAATTAGCAAAAAGTTATTGATGTTCTTATTTTAACTTTCTGATAGTGGAAATGTGTTATTGATATTCGAATATACAATTCGTATCTTGTATCATAGACTTCTGGTTACCAATCTAAGGCGCTAGCAAACAGAATAGATCGCTTTTGTATGCATAAATCACAACATATCCATAACCCTAGAACACTGACCATCAATTAAAGTTTCACCATTACTAACCATGGGCATATCATACCCGATTTTGAAAATTAAAAAAAAATATATTAAATATAAATCTTTATTTGAAATATTTTACATGCAGGCACTTCAAACCTTGTACTTTGTGTTAACATTAATAGGAACTGAAAAACATATTATTTAGGTAAGACAATCAGGTACTGAAAATTGTAATAAAAATAGGAAAATTTGCGCTGGGTACTATATATGGTTAGTGTTCTAGGGTTAAGTTCTTGAAATTGTATAAAGATTGCATTTTGTGATAGAGTACCTTTTCTCTTAAGCATGTGATGACAATTTCAAATTGAAAAGACTGACAGCAATACCAGGCAAACAGAAGAATATTAAAATTGAAAAAAAAAACCTAAACATCTGACAAAGGAAATAAAAATCTAATTAATACTCTGAGAAGCGATCATATTTTTGGTGATTGGAAACCAAATCAATGAAGGAAAACGGTATCGACTTTGTGTTGAATTGTGGAGAAAAATAAACTATGATAATATAATACGACTAAAGTGAAAATGAGACGTAGGACTGGAAAAACAATTTCGGGCACACTGACCACACCAATGTGAAAATTCCAGAGGAAATAGTATTTGTACCAGCAATTCATTAAAAATATTACCAGCAATACATTAAAAATATGACCAACAATACATTTTTGAAAAAAATATTCCCAGTAACACATTTAAAACAAAACAAAACAAAACAAAAAACAAATATTACAAGTAATACAATTTTTTAAAAGAAAATATTACTAGTAATCCATTAAAAATATTACGAGCAGTTCTTAAAAATATTACCAGGAATCCTTTAAAAATATTACCAGCAATACATTTTTGAAAACTATTCCCAGTAAAACTTTTTTGAAAAAACAAACAAAACAAAAAAAAACAAATATTACAAGTAATACATTTTTTAAAAGAAAATATTACCAGCAATCTATTAAAAATATTATCAACAATCCATTAAAAATATTACCAGTAATACATTTTTTGAAAAAATATTCCCAGTAATACATTTTTTAAATATATTACCAGCAATACATTTTTGGAAAAAAAATATTAACCGCAAGACGACTTTGAAAAAAAATATTTTCAGCAAAACATTTTCGAAAAAAAAAAACAATTACCAGC